ACTCGCTTATATGATCCACTCGCTTATATGATCCACTCGCTTATAATATACGTTACCTGCCCTTGTCACTTCTCAAATCCTCCCTTACACATCACTGTTTATTCGACCAGGAATCGCCTGACTTAACACCCCTATCCATCCTATCCATCGCATCTAATTACAGATCTTCCGGCAATGCGCGCTTAATGGACATGCCATGTACCTGCTTCTTATGGCCCTGCAGGTTGAACCAACCCCCTAAATCGTCCCCGCACACGTTGCATTTACGGTCCGACTTACAGCATGTCTTGTTAGCCATCTTATTCATCCCCCCCCGAAACCAGAAGCCGTAATTAGACAAAGAAAGAACTTACATCTCGAAAAGAGTGTTCCGTCTCTGGGAAGTCCCGCTCCTCCGTCGAGACGACAAACAATCCCGTAGCGGAATCCTGCCTTTCCACTGTCGCCTGCACCCCAGGGGAATTCATCAATCCTTCATCTTCCGCCGTCGCAAACCCCATCATCTCCTCCCTCAATTCCCGCCAGCCGGGCGGCGCTTGCTCGGGTAAGTCCCGCGCCAGGTCCAACTGCCGCTGCGCAAACACCATCAAATACGCATAGGCTACGTACGCGTGCTTTGCCCTCGGAAGTCCGCCGTGCTCTGCGATGAAGACGTGTGCGTTTTGGTTGTGAAAGCTGGCGGCCGCCTCTGGGGAGAAGGAGGTGAGCTTGGAGCGGATGAGGGCGACGAAGGGGTCGATGGTGGGGATGTTTGGGTCGGGGCGGGCGAGGACGCGGTCGTAGATGGGCGGGATGCCCTCAGTGGGGTAGACGCCGTTACTTTCGAGGAAGCGGTCGAGGACCGGGATGGGGATCTTGAAACCCCGGAGCACAGTGGTGATGGGCATTTTCGATAATGATTTAATTCGTACGCCCTGTGTACAGTCGGGGCTCCGGAGTGCAACCGTGAAGTTTTCGTCGATGGAGTGAGTGGTAAAACTAGAGCGGAAGGAAACCGGGTCGAGGAAAGGCTTGCTTTGCTGCCTTGAGGGAAGGGTGGGTGATTCATTTTATGGCCGCGAGCTACCTGAATTAGGTACATACAGTGCGAGGCCCAAACAGGCGTTCGCCTAGCACTGGTAATATTGGGGGCCGAAAACCTTGAGGGCGCGTTGCTTTGGGGGCCGAGAGCAAGCAAACAAACGTCGTGATCACAAGGCACAAACTATGAAACACTGCGGCCTAAAAATAGCAGTATGATGGTCCCGTTCTAGATTTCCCTCGTCTACTCGGCCTCGCAAGCCAAGACCAGCTCCAACGTGGGAGTTAAGCACGAACTGGTCATGGCCCGGCTTTTTAAGAGGTTTAAAGGCTGTTGCAGTTGTTTTGGCTGTTGCTGGCTAGGAGTTGCTGTAGGTACCTACCCAATTAATCATGCGTGTTCCAATTCAATCTGGGGAATTTGTAGGTTCCTAGGACATTATTCAAGGACTGAACTAATTCCTGACAACTTGACAAGAGATATTTCTTCATCTAATTCGTCAACTGTTATTTCAATTCAACCCCAAATCGCCATACGCAAGCCAGCCTGCGGATTTACCCCTGCCCGAAATACAAAAACCAGAACCAAAACACCATCCAATATCATCCGTGACCCGTGACGAGGACAACAGGAGACAGACGTCCATACCCAATCTGAGAAGCATTTCCACGGCCAAACACCCCCGCGAACGTCCGTCAAACCCAGGGATTGTCACCCTGGTAGTTGATGCTTACGATATAACGGATGATGTCTTCGAGCAGCAGTAAATCCTGCCAGAACATTAACGTCTGGTTGTTTTGGCTGGTTTGCCAGTAGTTTAGCGAATAAGCCCTCCTTGTGTCGATGATATCGGGCACCGGGTTGTTGCCCATGGCGCGAACATGGGATTGGTTGGGGACGTTCGGTTCGTACACGAGCCCTGGTTGTATGGTTCACGCTTGACTCTGGTTATGGCTGAGCACTTGAAGTGGTGATGCGTTGTTGAACGGGTCCCATTTGAAAAACATCCACTTCAGGCCCACTCCGAAAATAACGAAAAGCATCCGATTAGGATGGGCCTGTGCTAGTCGATTACAACCCTGCTCGATCAAGTCCTTCCATTCGTGCGCGGAGTCGTGGTTGGGTGCCTTGCACTCAACCCACAGGATGTCGCGGCTGGTCACGGACATGGGAGCGCCCCCGCCGCCTGGTGGATTCACCGTCGTCTGCATTCGAACAACAACGACGTCCGGCCTGATGGTCAACGGGCCATTGGTTTGTCCACGGTACACCTCCCTCTCAACACTGTAGTCGTACGGCCCCTGCGGCATCATCTGGAGGAAGTAATGCGTGAGCACGGCACTCCACGAATTTTGGACAATGTCTTCTTGGGTATAGTTGGGTCCGGCTGCGCCCAGCCGCCAGACAACGGCACGGGAACTCGCACCGGGGTCCCAGAAATGACTAGGTAAAGGCAGACACCCAAGGGTTAGCTTGTGTTAACGTGCATTATAAGCGAGCGGGCCATATAAGCGAACGGGCCACTTCCAACGCTACCCAACACCTTTTCTCAATTATCACGCCCCAACATTAAGAACCAACTACAATTATATCAAAAACAGCTGAATCAGACCCTTCTGCAACCTCCTGGCACATACAGGCATTATGGCCAGGCTTGCCGCATACACCACAGCA